TGAGAGAGATGGAGCAGAAGAGTCGAATTGCCCGGCCTAGATTTTACAATTTTGCATTATCCCATACTTGTATCTACACCCATACTGGTATCCGTACCCATACTCGTTTCCATGCAACTTAGATGGTCCAATGTTTTCAATATATTAATTTTCAGTCTTTTCATCCACGAGGATGAAATATTGCTATTATTTTTTATTGCAAATTTATGAGATTTAACCTGGCATGTAACATGTTGTTCGTTTATCAATTCTGTGTAGGTGACAAAGAAGCCAATTTTAATTTATCCTAACAGTGGGGAAACATATGATGGTGCTAAGAAGGAATGGGTGGTGAGTGGATTTCTATTCTACATCTAAGCAGGAAATTCCATTTGATATGCTGTGTTCATGCTGAATTTTTTTTCTCTTACCTTTTTGCTCTGGTTTACTACTTTGAAGCCTTAGTGAATTTTCATGTGCTCACTCACTTAACTGATGGATCATCCAAAAACATGGTTGACATTGTCTTGATGTAGCCTGTCTTTTATTTACTCATTGACCTTTTCAGTTGTAAGATTCTTTTATAAAAAGTTAAATGCTCTAAACATTTAAGTAAATGTTGCACTATGGCATCCACAAAAATTACTGATGAAGGTGATGGGGAAAGCATCTTTAGCCATTTCTGCCAACAACAGAAAAATTAACAGGGTAACAAAAGAATTTCCTTTGAAGGCGCAAACTTCAAGTGGGAGCGAGTTGATTTCACTGGATTATCAAGTTGACTAGTAGTAGGAAAAAACTACTTTTGTATTTTTCCAACTTCATTTTTTCAGCTGTTCTTAAAAGCATTGTTCATATATACATATTGGATAAAATTCACAGACTATTATGACTTTTTTGTGTTTGAGTTAAACTACCACTAAGTTTTTTTTTCTCTGTAGAATCCCCATAATCTTTTTTCACTAGTCTACCATGCCATTGTTAGTGTAAGTTGTCACGTGCTTCGCATGTGACATGTTTTCAATAATTTTGCCTTCTATGTACTTTATATCTTCTATATCCTTATGAACTTTATGAGCGAGATAGATATAGATAAGGATAGCTTAGACGGTTAGACCTTTTATCCAAGATGTTAAAGCCGTTAGCAACAATTTCTAGTAGTTCATGATATTTTTTGTACTTTTGAAAGTACGTGGTAATTTTCTTTAGCAAAAAAGTTCATGGTAGTTTGAGTGCAGAATCTCATAAAGTTAATGGTAGTCTTCCGAAAGCTACCCTTCATAATTTCGTCAAAGATGAGAACTTGAGAAAATCTGTCTTCTCAAGCAGAACTTCCCTCTCAATTGTTTTCCCTTTGCAGTGACTAAAATCTTAAAAGTTATAATAGCACAAAAATCTCCATACCTTTTCTGTGAGGATTTATAACATCCTCATACCATTGACATTCTAGTTCTGGACCAGTTGAATAAATTTCAAATGAATTTCACGGAGAGAGCAGGATGGCTTTACGACATTAGATTTACAAGACAAAAATGCTAATGCGTGTTATATGAATCTACTTATATTTGCTTGATCTTTAATTACATTGAGCGTTACACTTTAGATTTTGTATCAGATGAGCGAGTGATATCTGGTTTTCCTTTGCAGGCATCTACTGGAGTCTCAGATGAAGATTTTATTTCATATGTGTGCAAATGGCGTGATGCAGGGGCCTCCCTTATTGGAGGATGTTGCAGGACAACTCCAAATACCATCAGAGCCATATCCAGGGTTCTAAATTAGGATTTTGATAGCTAAATATCCCATAAAAGACTAGTTTTTTTGCAATGTTGGAATGCTAGTTTATACATGTATCTGTGAGCACCGGTAGATGAACTATGTATCAGAAATTACTTACAAGAGAATAATTTTTAAGCGCAGTTTACAGTGTTGTAGAGAAGAGTGGTTTGCAATAAAAGAAAGTTATTACCATACAGAGTTGGTAAATAATCTTGATGCTTTCCCTTTGAATTTATGTTAGAAAAATGCATGCCATGGTCTTGTTACTATGGCCTTCTGTATTATACTACAGCATAGTACAATTTTACTTTTCTAAATGATTTTATATTTACTTACAGGTTCTAATTGACTTTGGGCTTAGTTTAACGTCAACTCTTTCGGAGAGTAAAGTTGTAGACTTTTATGTGTTAGAGAGAGCCTTGCTGTCTATGCATTCATCACGTCGGAATGTGGTAACCCAAATAATTATTCATCTCCATCATCACCATTTAAAGCTAAGACCCTGGTGTTTGGATGCTAATGTCGCGTATTGCATTATGTACCAGGGACCCTGATCTGAAGTTTCAACTTAATGGACAATCTTGAGTGTCAAGATAACCTGCACATACTTCAGGTAAAAAATTCCCATCCTGACCATGTTCAGTTTTTCATCCTTGCTGACGAAACTCAGTTATTTTCAGCGCTAAAATTAGAACACTTCTTCATAATGTTTGTTATTCTGCAGCTCTCATTAATTACTTGAAAGTTTTCTAACTAAACGTGTAAATATTATCATTTTTGTTCTCACTTTTTCCTGGGGATGGACAGAATACTCCCTGCGTACAGGAAATCTTCAAAATAGTGGTGCTCCACGCTGAACAAGGTCTCAAGCTTTTCACTGAGTTTCTCTCTGTTTATATCCGTCTCTGTCCAAATATTGAAATCACTCTCGACTTTCACGGTGATCTATCAGAATATTATTTGTCAGTTAGAAAGGTAGAAGAAGGAGAAGAAGAGAACTGGCGCAGTCTCTTTAGCTCATTTTCTTTCCCTTAACTAGATTAAGATTGATACTCGAGGTTTAGTTTTGACTTTGTTTTTTTATTGGTATAAACCAAACCAGATTTTCAAAGCAAAAAAAAAAAAAAAAAAAAAAACAAAAAAAAAAAAAAAAAAAAAAAAAGAATCCTCCTCAAACTAACCAACCTTCCCTTGCTTCAAAAAAGAATCAATTTATTTTAAAACCGGGACATGATTTTTAGTATACTCCCGCCACCTCTCATAGTCTCTGGCACCTACCTTGATACTTCATCTCACCTCTTTCACCGTGAGCTCTTCTTAGGGCAGTCATGTCACCGCTAAGCTCTTCTTCTCGAAGACAACGACTTTTTGACTCCTCCAATCATATTCGGTATTACGTGATGGTTACATGTCTATTTCATGTTTAGGATCTCTTTAAATCATCCAATATGTACTTTTAGATTTCTTAGATTTTTCTTTAATTTTTCTTTTTTAGTATTTATACATATCTAAATTAGACCGCTATTTGGCTTTGCGCTTTTTACCGTTATTTTGCAGCAATAGCCCGAAATAGCCTTAGTGATGCCTTACCGCTACGCGACGCTATCCGCTATCGATAACCTTGCTTGGACTTGATGCAAAAGTTGAAAATGTGTTTTTGTACAATCTAGACTAAACTGTTGGGGTTCTAAGATATTAATGTAGCATTGAACTATACTAGGATTGATATTGTTTATTACAATAATTGGACTGACTCTTGGGCTACTAAATTAATGGTACAACAAAGGGTGATCTTTCGATTGCATAAATTAAACATGTATACATGGAAGCTAGGATAAATGAAGTAAATCAAGTGCCCAACCTTGAATTTGTTAATTATAAGGGACCTACTTCTGTATGCATCGAATTTTGAACCTTGGATCAATCTGTTTGCGATTTCACACTACTTCTGTATGCATCGAATTTTGAACCTTGGATCAATCTGTTTGCGATTTCACATCTTAGCCTAGCTTTGAGGAGTTTGCCAAATAGGTTAGTAAGGCCAGATCTTAGACGAGAAAATCTATTTCTTGAATCATTCAATCACATCAAATATCACTATGCACATTATTCCAAAATAGTGAAGCGTCATGCAAATCTTCCACACCAAAAGAAGTTCAAGTACGTCTACCAAACATTGCCAAGTTGATGTGGCATAAAGAGAGGGTAAGAGATCTTCCTGTTGCAAAATACCAAAACATAATCAGTACACAAATACTAGATTTAGTATCAAACTAAAGTTACTTTGAAACACATCTCATAATACTATACTTCTTTTAATGCCAACCTCTTCAAGAAAATGCCATAGGAGAAGAAAAAAAAAGCCAACACCCTGAAACTAAGATTGAGAAAGAAAACTCAGCCACCACCTTGAATCTAAGTTTGGTGAAAACGGTTAATAAAAGAATAAAAGTACGAGTAAGATCGCTTGAGAGAGAGGTTCAAAGCTCCACAAAAAGCAAAAGATTTGATACTTTGCTCAAAGTATAGACCACGATATCTCCTTTGACCGTCTCTAGAACGCATGGTGACAGGGGTAGATTGGGAATTGGAGGGGCAGAATGGGAATGGAGCTCTCTGTGAATTTGGAATATGTTCTTTGGCTTCGCACAATCTTTAAAGGTCAAGTTGTTCTAATTACTACGTGTGCTTGCTAGAGCTAAACAAGAGTTCATAGATTTTTAATTTAGTTTACTGTTTATGCTTGCCCTCTTTCTTTTTTCTAAATTATGTAAAAAATGTGGCCAAACTAATTGGTTGGACTGTACCGTCACGCAACAGATAAACTTCAAGTCCCCTTATGATCTCATAATTATTCTCTTTGCTACTTAACCTTTTAACTAATGGCCTTGACGAGGACTAATCATCTTGATGTACACTGTACAACACAAAGTTGAATGATGATAACAACATCAACCACTAAGATTTTCTTCTCAAAATCGATCCAGCGGTTAAAAAATGCAAAGAACAACCTTTAGCTTCATCCTTGGTCCTTGGATAAGAACCATTTCGTTCTCCTTAGCTATTGGATCATTAGATCATCATCTCTGTAATGGATCCAAGCCCTTATCCCCTTATCTTTAGTGAATCACAACTAGGATTAGGGATGGTTCTCTTTCACCTGTTGATGCCATTATATCAAATTCTCTTACTTTACAATTTGTGGCGGTATGTCCCTTCCCTATTTAGTCTCAGCATTCCATAGAAAGAAACACTGATAATTTGCAATTTACACGTCTTGAGGTCACTAGTGAGTTAGTTTTAGAACATATTGCATGCAGAACTTGAGTACCTTTTGTCCTGTACACTTGAAATGCTGCCTAGTTGTCAGATTGAGATCTCCGCTAATTAGGTGACAATTAGAGAGTATCCAATTAATCTAATTCTATCCCTATAGTTCAATTTCAAGGGCAGGAATGATGCCACGTAGGACTCTAAATATTATCTTCTAAACCACTATTGTGAAAACTGGTATTGTGATAATGTGAATTTTACATGGCTTCGTCTTAGCCATTTGAATTGGCATAGAGTGGTAGAATAGGCATAAAGTACTATGAACTTACAATTTGTCGCCCATTATTAATAAATATTTGCATTCTATTTGAGTTTTAGCCTATTTAAATTGGAAACTTAGCACATTCATCAAGAATGTTCTTTTATAATATTATATTTTAAATTTTAGAAAAATAAATATTTATCGCCTCTCCTCTTGATTTTTTTTTGGATATGTCGCTGCATCCATACATTTGACATCAGATTTTGTTTAAGATTTATAATCGGATGTTTTTTCGTTTTTGCATTTATTTTTGTTTTTTATTTTGTTTATTGTGTTTATTGTGTTTTTTGATTTTTGATTTTTGAGAGTATCAAACTACCTCCCATTATGAACTCACTTTTGAGCTTAAGCACTAATTCATGCAGCTTGTGGCCAAGATGGGACCTAATTTGAGTGGAAGCCTCACTAGGAGTGAGGTTGTTAGTGATTCTATTATTGCGGTGGGAAGGAATGAGGTCTAATCTTAGACGATTCTAGGAGAGTTTCCCTCTTTACATATCAAAATCAACATTATTTTATTTTGCTAATCATAGATTATTGCCTCATCAGTTGGTTGTCTAAACCTTGATTTGCGTGAACTAAGACCATCTCATGGGCTAAGGGCACAATCTCCCACATGGAATGTGGTCTTAAAAAAATCTAAAGCCGCAATTGATGATTAAGAAACCCCCTAAAATGAGGCCCTAATAGATCACCTCAAAGTGAAATTTACCTTTAAAAGAAATTATTCTTTGGGGTACCCTTTTTTTTAAATGATATGCTTGGAACGTGAAATTTAGGAACTTCGGGGTGTTTGGTTCACCTATTTTATGGAAAAGTTTGTGAAAATACTTGATAATGGCATTATCGTAAATAATAGATTTCTATAGATTTCTATAAACTGTGTTTGGTTCAACATTATTTATAAAAAAAAATTCTGTAAAGTACAGATATTTGTACAAATTTACAGAAATTATTTTCCACTAAAAATGGTCTTAAAAATACTAGAAAATCTGACGCATACATTAAAAAATTAATTAAGTACACCAGTATCGTTCCCATGTGATTTCTCATGGGCATTGTTAGTAAGCTATTTTCTATAAAGTGATATCCAACCAAACAAAAGAAAACGAAAACAACATATTTTCTATATAGTTAGGAACTTTTTCATACTTTGAACCAAACAAAGAAATAGCAAAAAAAAAAGAAAAGAAATATGATACTCTTTGAGTTCTATAAAATTTTCCTACAAATTTTATAGAAATATAAGGAAATCTATATTTTGGGTGTTTTCCTTTTTCCTATAATTTATAAAAATTGAACCAAACAACCCCTTCAAGTAAACAATATTTATTTGGTTGAGTAGATCACAACTTGTTTTAGACGAGTTACATAAAAAAATCTCAAAGTTAATTGAGATTATCTCAAAAGGGCCCAACCTTAAAAGAAATTATGTGAAATTTACCCTATTATTAAACATCAATATACGGATCAGTCACCATCATTCACCCCACATTCTAAGGTGAATCTTCCAACTGGATTTGATCCCTCTTATTAGGGCGTGGGGGCGCTCAAGAGCAAGGAGGCCGGAGTCAAGAGAAGCCCAAAACCCCAGAGAACCCACCCCATCCCCATTCATAACAATATAACATAAGAGTGGTGTTACAGGCACATTGTGAACCACACCTTCAACCACAATCTCTCTCTCTCTACAGTGCAGTGGGGCCCACACATGATTTTTTTAAAAAAAATCATGTGTGGGCCCCACTACACTGTAGAGAGAGAGATTATGGTTTGTGGTGTGGTTCACAGTGTGCCTGTAACATTTTCCATAACATAAAGCAAATCCTTGAAGGTTAATTCAAAATAAAAAATATTAACAAAACATAAAACAGAAAAATTTCTTTGTATTTGCTTTTTTAGCTTCCCCAAGGGAAGATCAAAAGGAGAAGATGAGTAGAAATTTGAGTCATAATATTTAAACATAAATTTTAAAATTAAGGATTCATTATATTTAGGTTTCCTAATGTATGATATAATTATATGAGTGATCTTGGGGTACATATATCCGTACAAGTAACATAGATTTTGATTGTATCTATACGAGTAACCGTCAGAAAGGGGAAAAAAAACAAACTCCAGGGTCACCCATGTAGTTGTAATCAGCGATCTCAAATCTACTTGTATAAATTATTTTACGTAGATTCTAGCTAGAGACACTCATGTAATTATAACATAATTCAGATTTTGGATGTAATTAATCCTAAATTGAATTATTGTACCGGTTTTGTCAAACTTGCACTAACTTTTAACTGTTTACATTGATGTTATGTAAAATTGAAGACATTATATTTAATGTTATTCTCAAAGATTATTTATATAGATTTATTGGAAAATTGTGTCAATGCCCCAAAAGCAATAGCT